GTTTGATTATACTTTCTGATTTCAGCCAAGGCTTACAAACTAAGGACTTGGTTTCACTTGTTTCTCTCTGGTACCCTTTTTTTTTTTTCTTCCTGACCTGAGGACATTTTGTAAGAGGGGAATTTAACCTTTAAATTTTAAAATGAGAGCATTTGGAATTACTTTGGATAAACACATATTATGTAGGTGGGAGATTGATCCAAATTTCAGTGAATAAATAGGCTTCTATATTTTATTTCAGTCTGTTGCTTCTATGGAGTAGGTACTGATTAATAGAATATAATTTAACAAACTGATCATATTACTACAAAGGAACCCAGAGGTTCAATTACAATAATATTATATGAACAAAACTTTCAGTGACTGGATTCATAAAGATTGGTCTAAAAGATCAGGGCTTTTTTGGTCTGGGAATAAGTTACTACTGGTCAGTTTCCCTATTTTAAATTTCTGTGTGTGAACCAAGATAATTTTTGGGGGGTTAATAATGGATAGTCCTAATCAACGATGACTGTGATAGTAAATATAGTTACTAGTAACCATGATTCTGTCACTCATGTTCCCCAAAGCTACTGGCCCAGTAGGAAGGGAAAAATGACTTTTGGCTATGGCTTTCCTTTCATGAACCTTTACTGTTTCTGGCTTTACAGCATGAAGGTGCTTAAAATAAATAAAAATTTTCTGCCATTAGTTTCATTCTAATTACCTTTTTAGCCTAAATTGGGAGCTAAGTATTTGCAGATAATATTCCCATGGACCCAAGCAGTTACAAATAATTTGGCTCTGAGGTTAGAAGCTGAGGACAATTCATATATATGTATCTTGCACCTCGTGCTATGTATCACTTATGGTAGATAATAAATTTGGTGTTGATTTTTCAATCTATTTTTTTCATACCCTGGATTTCTGAGACTAGAACCCAGGAGTTAAAGTTTCAATGTGTCTATAATTTTTGTTACCACATATTGGGCACTTTAAAAAAACATTCTCTTCTTTAATCTCAAATCAGAGTCGCATAGTAGCAAGGCTGAGCTCACACCCTGGTCTGTAGGTCTCCAAAGCCTATGTTCTTTTTAACTTTATTCCATTCTGTATTATAAACAAAATACCTGTGCTGTGAAATAGAGGGTCAATGATAACATTGAACAGGTGCTGAGGTTCCTCTGCACATGTGGAGTTTTCTGAGAGATGTGAAGTCTTTCCTGGCTAGTCATTCTGCTCTAAGGAACAAAATCGGGCTGCCCAGCAGGCAGCAGACACCCTGCAGTACAAAGCAAAGGAGGTTTTGAGTCTTTTTTTTTATATATATATTTCAGGAATATAGGATAGCTTTTTATTTGAAGCCACAAGCTCATAGCCCATCAGAGCTTGAATGGCAGTTATAATAATAATAATAATAATAATAACAGCAGCAGCAGCAGCAGCAGCAGCAGCAGCAACACAAATGCTGACATTTGCTGAATACCTCCTATGTGCCAAGCACTCACTGTCCTCAGCCCTTTAAGTGGTAATGTCCTTTAGTCCTCACCACAGTCACACGAGGTAGGGGGTATTATTATCCCAATTTTACAAAGGAAAACAAGGACACAGATAGAAAGTAAGTAAGTCAGATTATATAACTGGAAAATGGTAGAGCCAGGATCTAAATCCAGGCATTCTACTTTCCAAGCTCGCACTCCTAATTACTACACTCTTCTGCAGATATTCTGTGTATGCCTTTTTGTCCCAGATGGGTCACTGAGACCTCAGGGAGGGCAAAGGATTTATCTTAGGTCAGAATAGAAAACCCTGGACTAGAAGTCAGTACTCTATACTTTGTCATTCTATTCCTAAACAGTATTGTTCTTTGAATTTGACTTTCTGTAGCACTTAAAAATCTCTAAATGCTTCCTGAATAGTACTTTTTTATTCAACTTCTCTGTAAAGTGAAGCAAGGACACATACTGGCTTTTGTATTTCCCAGTTAGGGAAGCTCAGTTTCAGAATGGTTTTAATGTCATATCTGGTCCTCAGTTTCTGCTTTTCTGTTGGTTGCCCATTTTCTTCTTTTCCTTCTTTCTGGCTGCAGGATTCAGTTACATAGCTGCTTTTGCAAAGATTTCTAGACTTTCTAGCCCCATAAAATATATCCAAAAGGTTGGGTGTTTCTAAGAGAAGGGGAGATGTGAAAGAATTCACTATCAAAGTCAAGTCCTGGTTTTCAATTGATTCTTGCTTAAAGATGGTTTAAGAGTGTTCTTTTTAAAGGAGCACTTTAATGAAGTAAGAGATGGAAGGGTAGGTAGAACAGGAATCCCATGATATCAGGACTAGAAAGCCCCTCCCAACTTGTGTGTTTCAACAACCTTATGGATAATGAAACAGGCCCACAGAGGCCCAGTAACTTTTGCAAGGTCTCTCATCATTGTTCTTATCATTTCATGACTTGAGAGAGGTCTCATATTATACAATTAGTGAGAGGAGCAAGCTTCTCATAATGGCACAGTGAGGTAAAGAATGCAAGGAGACTTTATGCTTGTAATAATATGGTCAATCCCAAATTTCCAATTTGTTTTGTTTTTTGAAGGTTGAAAAAGATAATACACAGTATAACAACTTGGGATATCTCTGGATATAGGTAGCCTGCAAGTAAATAAAATAAAATTGGTATTGAGGCCCTCTGCCATGATGAAAAGGCCTTATAGTGTAATGGTTAAGGAAGAACATGGCTACTAAGCCAGAATTACTAAATTCAAATTCTGGTCTACTATACTTACCCAATATGTTAACTTAGGTAACCTCTCTATTCCTCAGTTACTGCTCCTATAAAATAGGATTTAAACAAAGCCCTCTGTAGTACCTACTTTATGGGCTTCCTGGGTAGATTAAATAAATTAATGCCTATAAAGTGCTTAGAACAGAACTTGGTACCTAGTGAGCATTTAGTAACTCTTAGTTATTATAAGTCATAAGATTGCTTAAGTTAACCACTGTGCATGTTGTGCCAATTGGAAATTTTGCTGGGCATCCTAGGTGGTGGAAGTAGCAAAGCCACTTTTCTGAGATGAATGTGCCCAGAATGAACATGCTCACCCCTATAGCTCAGACCAAATGGATGGCTTCTGAGAGGGGAGGGAGAGCCTCAGTTTGGCTCAAACAGTATGGGGCCAACTTAAGTGTTTATTATGGTGAGGTGTCCTGGCATCTGCCCTCCTATTTTCTTACCCAACCCTAGCCAAGATAGCCCCTCCCTCAGGGTTCCCAAAGTTACTTTTCTCTAAATATTCTCTTGTTTTCTGAGTAAAACAGACTTTGAAAAATTTGAGTTCTGTATGCCTGTGCCTACTCAGTGTGACACTTCCCGGGGCTGAGGGGGGCCTTAGATCACAAGACTCCATTCTCTTAGATGAGTTTTTTGCTTTCAACTTCTCATTTTTCTTTCCTTAGGCCAGGAACCATCACTCTACAGGCCCTTTCAGAAGCTAATAGAAGGCTATGGATGGAGGCCATGGATGGGAAAGAGCCAGTAAGTTACCTCAGACACTGGTGATACCTCTGCAGCATAGCCCAGTGTGTGAGTGCCCTCTAGTGGTAGGATAGGTAAAGGGTAATAGATCCATCTGACTCAAATTTTTTAGAGCCAGAAGGAATTTTGTTGATTCACCATCTCTTGTTTAATAAGTAAGGCAAGTTAACAACAAATTGATATTTCTCTCTCTCCCTTCCTCCTCCTCCTCCTCCTCCTCCTCCTCCTCCTCTTTCTCCTTCTTCTTTCTTCCCCACCCCTCTAAAACCCATAAATTAAAAAACAACAGTAAGGTGAGGAACTTCTCTAGGAACACCCTCACAGAAGACATCAAAGGTGGGCCTAGAATCCAGAGCCCATAGATTCTAGCTCCAGTTTTACATTATGCAGCTGTACCTACAAGATCTTCGTAAAGAAAACTAAGCCTTTTATATTTTACTAGGGGCCTGGTACACAAAATTCCTGCACTGGGTGGGGGTGGGGGGTGTCCCTCAGCCCAGCCTGCCCCCTCTCACATACTGGGAGCCCTCAGGCATTGACCCCCATCACCCTCCAAACGCACGATCAGCCCCTTGCCCAGGCCTGACGCCTCTGCCAGAGGTA